TCCAGTCAATTCCAGCTCACGGCAACAGCACAGAACAGAGTAAAAGTGTCTCTGTGGTTTTCAGAGGGCACACCTCTTTACGCGATCAGACAAGCTCGTCCTTCGACATGGGTCATGAAATAGAGCCCAAATCACGGAGAGGGGCGTGCCAGTTCTATGTTTGCATATGGATCGATGTCTATATTGCTTAGTTCTGTGTCGATATATTTTATTTTCTTAATTTTGTCCATTAGAAAATCTAAGGGCAAAGATACCCTAGTAGCACTGAGCACACCGAACTCCTCGATTTTAGTTTCTAATTACCATTCCCTAGCAAAAGCGCCTGAGGGTCCCTGGAGGAACTACTGGATTCAGGGTTAAAAGGTGAAATGGTCCAGAAGAAAGGACGGACTCAGAAAAGGATTGCCATGTGGACGGGGTGCAGGAAGCATTTTGAGAGTTTCCACTGAACACATTTGAAGCAGCATGAACATCAGAATAAACCACAATAGTGCAAGAATACCCTAAGAATACCCGCACTAACCAAGAGTCCCAAGTCGGTTTCACTAACGTTGAGACATTGCGCTTCCTGGAGTGATGAGGCCTGACGGCGGTGCACAAACTGCTTTTGGGATGGCTGCCCTTGGAAGGATGTTTGATCAAAGGCCCCCGTGTGTCCACCTGCCTGGAGCGAGCACCTCTGACCCCTGTGGGTGCATGGGGACGGGCCGCTTCCTTCAGGGGAGCAGACGTTCGCCGGTGCTTGCAGGGTCCTGCTTCCAGAGCGGACTCTGCGTTGGGCTCCTACCTGCAGGTCAGCAGTTCGAACCCCCACCCTCTCAGCAGGAGAAAGTCCCCCTGTCAGGATGTGCGGCCTCAGAAACCCGACTGGGTGGCTCTCTGCTCCCTGAAGGGTCAGCCACCGACCATGAGTCAGGATTTGCACTTTGAAAACTTCCTGCATGGGGTAGGGAAAGTGGGGGGACATGTGCTGATACCAAGGGCTCAAGCAGAAAAAAAATTTTTTTTAATTATGATGGCAATCTACATACAAATGTGCTTGGCACAATGGTTGGATGGATGGATTGTGATAAGAGCTGTCATAGCCCCCAACAAAATGATTTGTTTAATTAATTAATTTTTAAAAATTAAAATGTTCTTCCTCTGAGCTCCCTGCATCCCACCCGTCAATCTTTACCTTTATGGGCGGAGGCTCCTTTGGAATTCTGGGAGTCGATCATCAGCTGAAGGAAGTCCACTCGGTGCTGGCGGCAGACAGAGAAGTGTTCACGTCAGAAAGGGCGTGCAGTGCTTGATCTCTTTCCTGAGAACACGGCCCCTTCAGTCCCGGGATCAGCCCTGTGCTGCGGTTATGGGTCGACGCCGGATGAGGCGCCAAAGAACAGGCACTTCCACCGCCTCATCTTGCAGAGCAAGGCGATTGATTCCCTGGGGGTCACAGCTCACTGCCGTGGGGACCTTGTCCTCCCTGATCCCTGGATCCCTCGACTTTTGCCCAAAACTTCCTGGGCAAAGAGTGGCCTGCCCCTTCTGCCATGCCATCTTGATCAAGGAGAACAGGACCTTGCTTCCATCTCTCTGTTCTCTGCTCCCCCGCCCAGCCCCGGAACCCTCGCTTAGGCAGACCTGTCTTCTTAGGAGCCATGATGACACAGATCAAATACTGACTTTCCAAAGCTCATGTGCTGCTCTTTGTGAGCTGACTTTCCAAAGCTCATGTGCTGCTCTTTGTGAGCATCAGCCCATACCCGACCCCCCAGAACACTGCACAATCATCAAGAACCCCTGAGATACGCAGGCCTGGTCCCCTCAGCTGCAGGTCTCTAAGCTCATGAAGACAAACCTACGTCATCCATTTTGCTAAGTTGGCCATTTTGCTGCCTTAGTACCCAGAGAAGGGACTAGTCCCCTTCAGACACGGCGAGAGAGCTGAAAGGTAACATGAGGGATATTCCAGCAGGTACCAGGTAGCCTGAGGTGTCTTCCGTTGTAGAATATGTATGGAACACATGAGGCTTGCGACAGAGAGGACCATTGACCCATCACTGTATGGCGCAATGATTAGTCAATCAATATTTGAACCGGTTTGGGATCATGTGATCCTATCATTGAACAGTTGAGGCGTGGTAGACCGCGTTGGTCTCAGCAGTAATGTATTCACTGTCCTTATTGTTGCTGTTGCTGGATCCCATCGAGTTGGCCCCACTCACAGAGACGTAACGTACAACATCACCCATTACTCAATTCTAAGTTCTGTGTCTGGACACATCCTTTATCTCCTTCCGCTGTCTCCACGTTCCTCACCCCCCCTCCCCACAATATAAAAACACGTTTGTTTTTAATGCAGAAGAGTACACGGTTCATCACACTGAGTCCAACTATCACCAAACAGCGAGCACAAGTACAATGCAGCAACCAGCACCGATCTTACCTTGCGATCGTCTTTCAGGCGGCTTTCTTTCATTTTCTGTACAGATTTTTTGAAAAAATTGGTGACGTCTTTTGGGAAGATATAGATATTTAATGCTTCATAAATGGGAGTAAGGAATGGAAAGATAACTGTGGGGAAAGGAGACAGGAGAACTCACTGTGAAAAGCCAGCATTCCCCGTTCCCTCAAGCACAGAGAACAAGTTCTCTCTCCCATCCCTTCTCGGGTCCTCACGTGGGGCTCGGAGAGGGTGGCCGAGGACAGTGGCACCTTCCTCACTGTGCCACTGACCAAAGGCCCAGGATTGATGGCCGTGGCCTCTTTCTATGGTGACCTGGACCGGAGTGTCTTTGGGTAAACCAGGCCGCAGCCTGCTTTTATTACATCACGTTTTTCTACTGTGAATAGTGAAATAATGCAGAGTCTAAAATTAGAAATGAACAAAAGAGAGAGAAAAAGAGGAAAATCGCAAACACGTGGAAGTGAGCCGCACTTTCCTAAATCATCCGTCATGGAAGAAATCAAGAGAGAAATTAGAAATTACTTGGAAAAGAATTGAAAATGAACATGCAACGGATCAAAATCACAGGGAGGCAGCTAAAGCAGAGCTTCTCTGGAGAATAATCGCTGTTGACGTCTATTTCTGAAATAAAAATGAGATCTAAAATCCATAGCCTAATCTTCTACCCTAAGACACTGGGAAGAGAGTAAAACAGGAGAAAGGATGTGGGGAAGCTCCAGCTCACTGCCGGTCAGTGGGTTGTGAGTCAGCGATCCCAGAGGACCGAGGAGAACCCCTGTGGGTCTTCACCGTCATGAATCTTTACAAAAGTCGGCAGCCTCAGCACTCTCCCGGCAAAGGGACGATAGTTTCAAATGCCGAGCTTGTGGTTGGTAGCCCAACGTATAACCAACCACCAAGGCCCCTTCTCTTAAAGATTAGATAAGAGATGAATGAAATACACAAGAGAACACGAATACACCCAAAGGGTGGTTCTTTTAAATAGTCATCCAAATTGGGAAAATTTTAGCAAATAGACAAAAAAAAAAAAAGGAGAGAAGGTTTCATAATGACCATCATCAAGAAAGAAGAACTGCCGATTATAAGGCACACTCTATCCTACTTTTAAGCAGTAAATGATGTAACTGAACAAACCAAGCCCACCACCCTCAAGGCAATTCTGACCCATAGCACCCCACAGGACGGACTAGACCTGCTCCTTAGTATCCCAAGACTGGCGCTTTGCAAGATGGTAGTCTTCCTTTTCTCCCGCAGGGCAGCTAGGGTTTGACCTGCCAACACTAATGCTGGCCGGCAATCCTTATCCAGTGCTACAACTAAATTAGCATAGCTAAAGGGAACCAACTTTCAGAATGACAACGATTGAAAAAGCAATAGCCTATCTGGATAAATTTACAAGGGAAACAATTGTACATTTAAAAATGCACCAACCAAAGCCTATGGCCAGGTAAGTTGCATGGTGAATCTGATCAAATAGCTAAAAGAAAAATCAATCCCATTCTTCAGAAACACTTCACAAAAAGGAAAAGCAGGGGCTGCTCTGTAACTTGTCCAGAGGCCGGAAGTGCCCTGACACCAAAGCCCGGAAACATCACCAGGAAAGAAGACCGAGGACCCCCGTCGCTTCAGTGCAACATCGTAGTTTTTAGCCAGATCAATGTGACGAGGAAAAAGAAAGAAAGAAAACAGAGATAGGTAGGAAGGGAAGAAAAAATGTATCTCTATTCTTAGTTGACATGATCTGCTGTCGTCAAGGAACCCACCAGACAATTATTCCAATGAATTAATGAATGAAGACTCGGGTGGAATTGTGGTAACTTCTGGGTTGGCCAACAACTTGAACCTGCCAGCCCCTCTGAGGGAAGATGAGGGGTTCTGCGCCAGTAAACATTTACCACCGTGGGAACCCGCTGGTGCAGTTCCACTCCATCCAATGTATTTGCTATGAGTCAGAGTCAATTAGATAGCAGCGAATTTGGTTTGAGTTCTTTTTTTAACACATGAATTCAGCAATGTTGCCAGATGTATGATTAATCTGCAGAAATCGATTGACTTTTTATACACTGCAAGGAACAACATGGAAAACATTAAGAACGCGTTTCCATTTAGTAGCATCAAAAATAAAGAAACATTTAGGAATAGAGTTGTTGAAAGAAAGGGAAAGCTTATATTCTTAAAAATCATAAAACCTTGTTCAAAGAAATGAGCAATACCACTCCTGGGTACATACGCAAAAGGGTCAAAAACAGATCATCGCACAAGACCTGAGCGTGAAATTGATGGCAACATCGTTCCTGACAAACGCAGCCAGGAGAGCACACCGAATGTCCATCCGCTGAAGAAACGGCTAACTAAACAAAGACTGTCCTCACAAAGCAAAATGATCTGCCCGTGAAAGAAAAGGAAGTACCGATGCAAGCCACAACACGGTGAGCCTTGTAAGTACTAGGCACAGTGAAAGAAGCCAGTCACCAAGGCCCACGTGTCGTATGCTCCAGGTCCAGCGCATATCCAGAATCGGAAGAGAGACAGAGACAGGTAGTAGATGAATGGTTCCCTGATGCAGAAGGAGGGAAAGCTGGGAAATAAGAGAAGGATACTAAAGAGTAGGACCGCTCTTTTCTTTTTTACTGGATTGAGGAAAAAATATTCTAAATATGAGCGCAATGATGGTTGCACGTATCTGAAAATACTGAAACACAATGAATCGTGCACTTTAAATGGTGCATTCTACAGCATGTGAATTATAGCTTATTAAAGCTGTTCTTAAAAAGTAGTAGTCCACGTACATACTGAGAGAATCATTGGGTCAAAGGCACGAAATTTCATGAGCCTCTTGATGTTTTGCACAAAGGGATCCTCTGGGTTGTTGAGGGAGTCGATGTTCACGCCGAAGGATGTGCTGGTGATGACGTCCATGCTGTAGGCGCCAAGGATGCTGACACAGGAAGAAAGACAAGGAAGTCTTAAATCAGCAGCTCTTCCCCATCCCTCTGAAAGGCATTGTGGTGGTTACGTGATCTTGTGTCAACTGGAGGCTATTGAGAGCGAAGGGGTGGAGTCTAGCCTGTCAATCAGGTCACAGCCTGATGATGTCTTCTTGTGGGTGTGGCCTGATCATGAGGATTCTGGAAACTTCCTTTCTGCCTCCAGGGAGGTGGGCCACACTCACTTGGCTTGACTGTCCTATTGACAAGCCACATGGAGCCACGCAGATGGCAGCCAGAGTCCTGGAGATGCTTCCACCACCACTGGATCCACAAGACTTTTCACCCTCCTGCCGTGATCTTCCTGCATTAGGCATCCCTGCATGTGCTGTGTGAGTCTAAAGCGGACTGTATAGATTGATATCGGACATGTGGGCTCATTTCGTACCTATGGGATTGATCGGGACAGGGCTGGGATATTTTCTCAATATTCAATTGCTCTTTGATATAAACTTAATATTAGTTTGATATAAACTTCTCTCTTATACACACATGAGTTGTGGTAGCTACATAATCTGGTGTTAACTTGAAACATTAAGAGGGAAACACACACACAAAAAAAAAGAGGGAAACACAATTGTGCTTTTATGTAACGTTCCTTCCTATACACATATGAGTGTCTATGAGTTTGCTTCCTTATGTCTACCTGGATTAACTCGTTATGGTACCTTGGGAGTACTGGAGAAAGAAATCATAAAGACGGAGAACTGATGCTTATTTGACTCCTCCTCATGGCAGTTTTTCTTTGTTGGGTAGCCAGAGGTCTGATACGGCCATGCAGTTGACTGGGTTGTTTTCCGGAAAGAATAAGGGAAGTTAACGTTTTGATTATTTTGTTTGGTGTTTGGTTTTGGTTATTCCTGTGTGAAATGGCAAAAATGGATGTGATTAATGTATATTTTGAGCTCAGGGAATGACACCGCCCCTTGAATTTCTCAGAGCTGCTTAGTGAAAATGGCTGACAGAAGGCCTGGCCCTGGCTTGAAGCAATGCATCCAGAGGCCTAGCGCAATATTTTGTATCAATGGAGTAGTTTAGATAAGGATTAAGATAAGATAGATAAGGATTGATCTTGAGTGTTTTAAGAATTGAGTTTAGGATCTGGCTGTACTAGGTTTATACGGTTTTCTTCTGCCTATTGTTATTGATATAGTGATTGATAGAAATGATTATTGGGAAGTACGAACATAGAAAACGTGTAAGCCCATTTTCCTTTAGCCATTAAAATTGAAACTTTAAATGGGTTTAGGACACGCCTACAAAGAAAACTCTGTAAAGATAAGCCCCACCCAGTGTCTTGAGTGCTTAGGACATTCGAAGGTGAAGAGATTTGCCTAGGGAGCTATTGACATATTAGAGAAAAAAGGAACTCTTTGGCTTTTTAAATTTTGAACTAGTGGTTTGTGCCTGAGGCTGGAAAATTTTGGAACATGGAAGGAACTCTCCACTCTAGGACTGAACTGTTAAAGGGAGCATGTGGGCAGGCTGAAATGCTTGCTAGGTGGCCACCTGGATCCACTTGTTGGGTGGAAGTGAGAGAAACATAGCAATAAAGAGACGGGTTGAGCCTAGCCACTGACACCCGAGGACCTGGTTCACAGGGACTAAAGGAGGAGACAAGAGCAGGTTGATTGGTCTGAAGTTCATGACCTAGCCCAAGGGGGCTAAAGTTGTTGAGAATTTGTGATGGGGCCCGGCAAGGCAGCCAATGGGCTAAGTGAGGCAGCCCACATTGAGTTGACCAGAATTTGACAGATGAAGAGAAGATTTTTTGAACCTGTGAACTGGTGCATATTGCTGCTGACTTTATGAATGGCCTGTCCTGGTTTGATTTTGCTTTTGGATGCAGACTCACAAGGTTCAAACTGGAATGAAGATTCTTCACCTCAAAGAACATGATTGTCTCCACAGAGCAATGGGTCAACATAAGTGGGCAGTATAGAAATTGGATACCCAAAATCGGGTGGATAAAGGCATGAAGTGATTGCCTTACAAGCTTTCATAGGTGGAGGGATATATTTATAGGATTGTGGTGTAGGTGTTCACATAAGTATAGAATATTTTATTTTGTTCACTTATAGAATTTGATGTTTAAATGAGGGGGGGCACATTTTTTTAATTGTATACCGTTTAGTTTTATCTTGTTAGGTCAGATATGATTTTATTGTTTGTTTGAAAATTACATATGGCTAAGGAGTTGTGTGACAGCGTCAAGTTGACAAGGGGTTGTCTGTGGTAGTTACATCATCTGTGTCAACTTGAGACTATTAAGAGTGAAGCGGTGGAGTTTACCTTGTCAATCAGGCTTGCTGACCTCATTTGGAGGCTCTATGTAGATAAAATAGCTCACTGGAGGCCAGACTCACACACGCTGCTTGTCTCCCTGCGACACATTCCTGGTGACAAGCCACATAGAGTTCCACTGATGGAGCCAGAGCCTTGGAGCTGGAGGAGCCACGTGGAGACCCCTGCCAGCACTGAGATGCTTCCACCACCACTGGATCCACAAGACTTTCCACCCACTGGCCTTTGATCTTCCTGCATTCTGTTTCATTGCATGTGTTGTGTGAGTCTGAAGAGAAATGTATAGACCTCCAAATAAGCTCATCAAGCTGAAACCAGATAGACAGGCTAGACTCCACACCTCCACAATTTGACACCAGATCATATAACTACCAGATCAGTGCTCTAAAGAGGTGTGTGCAGTGTGTTTGCTCAATGCAGCTCATTGTTGGGTTTCTTGGCTATGCTCCTCAACATGATGTTGCATCTGAGTCTCACTACTCCACAATGTCAGTGCCCACAGTAAATAATAGATTGCACATTTCTACTGTCCTTAGCACAGCATCGACAGATTCAGTTGTTCCAGGTTCTATATTTGATCTTCCTGAGTTCAGCCATGGTCAGCTAATAAAAAGCATCAAATGCCTTTCTACTTCAACTATCCCATATCACCTACACCCACTACTTCTGTGCTATCCAACCCATACCTTCTTTCTAAAACTTTCTTATGTGCCTTCTGGGAAGTGCCAGTTGATCACTGAGGAGATAAATTGATGCGGGCTCAAGTACAAGCTGGGAAGATGCTTTTCCCTCACTGCCCTACTAGTTACTGTGAACCACCCATCCTGGGTAGCCCATTGCAGTTTTCCCACCATGCCTCTCTGTTTGCTTTACCACTAGATTAACTCAATTTTGAGAATTTCAGTTCCCTGATAGGCAGCTGGTGGAGCTTGTGACAGAGATCAGAATCCCAGCCACCATATTTCTTACCTTTTCAAAGTGACAGGCTTCCCCTTCTCTGCCTCCTCTCTCAGATGCTTCACCAACATGTCTCCATACTGGCTTATGATGGGGAACATCTGAACAGAAAACACACCAACACTCAAAGGTACATATGCAGACCCAAGAACTAGAAGCACCTGGTCTGCCAAGTAGGAATAATACGTGGCATTTTATCATAAAGATAAAACCATGTTACAGGAGGTCAAACTCCGCTGACCTTCCTTTTCACCCATCGTTAAATTGGCTCCTGGACTTTCTAATTATTATTTCTCTTATCTCCTTACCTCCTTGAGCTTTCCACTGGTGAAGGTTGGGGATAACAAAGTCCTCAATCGCTTCCACTGATCATCCTCAGCCACAGAGATGGCAGATTTCATGAATCCCATTGGACCAAAAGACTGGAATTCAAAGCAAAAGGGCATTTGTCTTACATAAATTCTAGAGGTCTCCCCAGCAGCAGATAATGTGTTAAGCAGGCATCATTTAATCAATAAATGCTTAGTGACTGGCTATAAGGTAGCAGGCTAATGTAAAGATAACCATGTATTCCAATGTTCCCTGTGAGGATGGACACCCAGCCACCTGGTGGAATTTCCAACTTTTGTCTGCCACTTCCCTTTTAGGTGCCCCTGTGCACAATGTAGGAAAGGTATTTGTTCGGGGAAGAGAAAGAAACAAAGCCTACTATGTCCCTACACCCACCAGGCTTCTGAGGACTAGAAAGAGACTGCTGGTAGGTGACATTGACACGGACCACTTCATCGTCATACATGTCTAGAGGATGAGCAAACTGAACACGAGATGCCCTGTGAATAGTAATTATCTACAAATTGTAGTTAATTCGTTAAAAGCCAGGAATCCATTGGCTATTCTGGAGAAGAAATTACATCTTCCTTGTTTGCCTCGAGTAGAAAAACAAGAAATGAGATCACTCAGTTCCCCAGCTCCAGGCTGACCAACCAAGAAATCCAATTGGAAAATGTTTGCCCATACTCCAAAGCTGTATTTGTTCATATGTGAAAACTTAAAATACTCATTCACAATTAAATTTTTTAAATAATATCTCAGCAAGAAGTCAAGGAAAAGTTCCTCAACTTGATAAGGAGAATCGACAAAAGAACAAAACAAAATTGTATCTAACATCATACTTAACGATTAAAGACGGAAACCCACCCCCCACATTCTGAACAAGAAAAAAATAGTGCACTCTCACCCATTTTATTCAGCATCATATTAGACGTGCTAACTAGTGCAATAAGACAAGAAACAGTCTTAAAATACATACAGATTTAAAAAGAAGTAGAATTGTCTCTGTTTTCAGAAAATGTGTTGTTCAAATAAACAATCTCAAGAATATGCCCCCCAAAAGCCTAGAATACAACACACAAGACTAATAAGTGAGTTGTGGAATACAAGACCAACACATAAAAATTGATCACATTTTTACATACAACGGTGAACACATGGAAATTAAGAAAGCAACGATGTTAACAATCATATTAAAGAAAATGTGTTATAAGTCTTAGTTATAAATCTAAAATGCTTGATTGCTAACTGAAAAGTTGGAGTTTCAAATACGCCCAGAAGCACCTTAAAGAAATGGCCTTGTGACCCACATCTGAAAGCCATCTGTTGAAAACCTTAAGGAGCCCAATTCTACTGAGACACACGTGGAGTTATCAGAGACAATTCAATGGGAACTCGCGAGTTATTAATCTCAGGGAACACGTATAGAATACATACAGTGAAATTTTTTAAATGCTTAAAACAGGATGCAAAGAAAATCTAAAGGAATCGGCACTAATTACTGTATTCAGGAGCCATGGTGGGATACTGCTCTATATTGGACTGCTAACCACAAGGTCAGCAGTTTGAAACCACCAGCACTCTGGGGGAGAAAGATAAGGCTTTCTCTTAAAGAATTGCACCCTCATAAATCAACAGGGCCAATCCACCAGTTCTCCTCTGTCCTAATGAGTCACGACGAGTCACAATCAACTTGATAGCAGTGAGTTGAGTTTTTTTTTAAATCATTTTATTAGGGGCTCATACAACTCTTATCATAATCCATACACACATCAATTGTGTAAAGCACATTTGTACATTCATTGCCCTCATCATTCTCAAAACATTTGCTCTTCACCTAAGCCCCTGGCATCAGCTCCTCATTTGGATTACTGTGTTCATGGATTGGAAGACTCACATAGTAAAGATGTTATTAGTGCTTATCAAAATTCCGGCAAACTTTTTGTAGCTATAGGCAAGTGTATTGTAATTTTCTATAAAAAGCAAAGAGCCTAAAATAACTAAAACAATTTGACAAAGGATTAAAAAGCGGGAAGAATGGCTCTACAAGATGTTCAACTTTTTATGATATGGTTACAGTAATCAGTTGTGGAATACTGGTGGAGGGATAGACATACCGTCTGATGGAACAGAATAGAAAGTCAGAAACAGACCCATACAGATATGGACTACATATAATAGTGTGAAATCAATTCCATGGAGGAAAGATAACCTTCCCAACAAAAGCAACCGAAGCAATTGGACCACAGGCAAAATAATGTGATCTACATTTCACAGTTCACACACACACACACACACACACACACACAATAGCTTGAAATGAATCATGCAGATTTAAACCTAAATGTAAAATAATAAAAACTTATTTTTTAAAAACTTTAAGAAAAAGATTAAGAAGAGGAAGTGGAAGAAAAAGAAGAAAGAGGAAACTCTAGGACCAGAAGGTAGGCAGTTTCCAGACTGGACATCAAAAGTACAATCTATAAAAGGAAAACCTTTAATTGGGTTTATAAAAATAAGAGTATCTGGTTGCTCTGCTAAAGACCCTGGTAAGAGTCACAGACAAGCCACTGGCTGTCACTGTAAAAGAACAGCAAGAGAGGGCACAGGGGGAGGGAGCCGTGTGATGTCTTGGCTGTGCTGGTGGTCACACAAATTCACATGTCATAAAAGTGAATAAAATGATGCGTGTGGGAGCTTGCACACACACGTGATTACAGATAAAATGGATGAAATCCAAATAAGCTCTGTGAATTGTACCAAACTCACTTTACTAGCTTGATGTCATGTTTAAATAAGATTTTAACATGCAGAAAAACTGGATGAGCCACCCATGAGCATGTCCTTTGGCTGTTGGTTGAGTTTTGTTCTTGCTGATTTAATTTGGGTGCTGGTTAATTTTTGTTGTTGTAGTTTTACCCCGACTTCCTGTGAATCCCCAATAATTGCACATGCAGACTGTTCAGTGAAATAATATCCTAAATGAAGGAAATATGGTTACTCACCCTCCGGTTTGTGAAGACGGAATAACACTCCTTCACCAGTATGGTCTTGATCACGGCTGGGTCTGTGACGGCTATCACAGGCTGCTGACCGTCGTAAAACCTGCGTCAGGAGACGGAGCTGCTTAATCTGAGCAGACTCAACCCTGCAGCTGGAGCACTCCGGAGAGAGAGACGATGTGCTCATCCTGATGGTGTCAGTCCGCACTCCCAGTGGTCCAACACACACCACCCTCCCCTTCGGCTCAGAGTGGACACGTTATGCCCACAGCAGCACACTGAGCACAGACGCCCGCGAGAATGCACGAGACGCAGCGTGATGTAGCTCAAGCAGGGGAGAGACCATTAAAAGCAAAGGAAGATTGCTGGGCCCATGGAGGCTAGAAAAATTTGAGAGGAATGCAGCAAGACATAAATGGACAGTGAGGTGAGTATATAATTCACTTTCAATGTTTTTCTTTTTATTACATGCACCTATCTTGACCCTAACTGGGCCTCAGTACCACTTCTATGACATCAGAGCGTCATGTGGGTCCGTTTTTTGACAAGTGGGTCACAAAAAGCTGTCTTCCTATGTAATACGGCGAAATTGGGCTTGCTTCTCTGACCCTTGCGATCGTCCTCGTGGGAATAAGCCGATGGATTAAAGCATAATGTCTGTTTAATTAGAGGAGCCCTGGTGGCACAGAGGGCCCAGCACGGAGCTGCCGACTACAAGGTTAACTGTTTGAACCCACCAGCTGCGCTGCAGGTGAAAGAGAAGGCTGTTCACTACCATCCAGCCCTGGACAGGGACGTCATGCTTGGGAAGGCAGAAGGACCGTGGGAAAGAGGACGGCTCTCCACAAGGTGGACTGATCAACAGCGGCGACACCAGCAGGCTCACGCACAGGAACAAGCGTGTGCGTTGTCCTGGACAGGCCCGTATTTCACCCTGTTGTACATATGGTCCCGGTGAGTTGGAGCCTGCTGAACAGCACCTCACAGCAGCAACACATGTTTAGTTACATGGTCCTGACACCATGCTTTCCATAACCATTCATTTGCATTTGCTAGAATAAATGGGAGATTTCCCAAGAGTTGCCTATTTTCGCTTCACGGAGGAACTTCAAATGCCTCTGGGATCACACTCAGGTCTTGGTGAGAACCTCCGCCCTTCCTGCTGGCCATTTCCAAAAGCAACTTGGGAGGTTTACATACAGAGTATGTTCAGTGTTGTTCCTCTGACAAAAGGTATTAGGATGAAGCCTCTTAGGGCTAGCACCCACTACCGAGTTTGATGGATTCCAATTCAATGTAAAAGAGACCAAAATCCTCCCAACTGAAGCAGTAGGTCACATCATGATCAATGGAGAGAAGGTAGAAATTGTCTAGGATTCTGTCCTGCTTGGGCCCACTATCCATGCTCATGGAGCAGCAGTCAAGAGATCCAACGACGCTTTGCATGAGGTAACTCTGCTGCCCCAGCCCTCGCTGGAGCGCTGAAAAACAAAGCCCTAGAGGACTAACATGTGCCTGACCAATCCATGGAATTTTCAACGGCTCGTTTGCATGTGAAGTTGGACACTGAATTAAAAAGAACAAAGAATTTTCCATGAACTGCTCAAAAGCCGAGCCCATCTGTCTTGGGAGAAGTGAGGCCAGAGAGCTCCTTAGAGGGAAGGATGGCAGGACTTCCTCATACGCACTCTGGACGTGTGGTCAGGAGAGACCAGTCCCTGGAGGAGGGCGTCATGCTGGGCAGAGCAGAAGGGCAGCCCTCAAGGAGATGACTTGAACCGTGGCTGCAACAATGGACTCGGGCATAGGAATGATGGGGAGGGTGGTGCGGGGTCAAGCAGCGTCTCACTCCACCGGGCATAGCGTCGCGGTGGGTCGGAACCAACCCCATGACCCCTGAGAATGACAACAAACAATTGGAGCCCTGGGGCGGCCACCATGAGGGTTTGACTGCTGACAGAGGGTGGGCCTTTCAAACACACCCAGTGGCTCTGTGGGAGAAAGACTGGGTGATCGGCTGCTGTGAGGGGTGCAGCCTAGACCACCCTCGGAGGGGTTCTGCTCTGTCGCTCGAGACCTCTGTGAGTGGGAACCAGCTCAACCACCCACAACACTGGGTTTGACGTCGTGCGTGTGTGTGCACAGAAAGGGGAGCTACGGAAGGGGAAACTGGACAGGCAGTAATACCAGGAGTCTCTGTCTGTCGGAATCTGGAGAGAGGGGACTGTCTGCAACGGTCGAGGCCTCGTTCAGAGTGTAGATCACAGGTTCACAGCCTGATCTGGCCTGCCACCCCCTTTTCACAACAACAATTGCTCAGCATCTCCCTGTCAATGAAAAACTTTTGAACAATAGCCCCTACTCCGGGATAAAATGCAGGTATCCACTTTTGCAGCAAGCCTGGGGCATGCCAATGCTCCCCAGCAGGCTGAATCTCCCACCTTGGGAAACTGCTGCCGATTTTGACACCTGGAGTCATGCAGATCGTAGGCAGGATGAGTCTCCAGGAGCTGCGCACGAGCTCATTCATCCTCCAAGGCTCTGGGCTGAGATTGTGCCCCCACAACCGAGTGCTTCTCCACAAGTGTACCCAATGGACGTTTCCAGAATACTCACCCCCATAATTTTCCAAACTTTTTAGAATATTTCAGGTCAAAATCCCAAATACCCTGCAAGGAGACACAAATTAAAATTGCATTATCCATTTTAAAATTTCAATCAGATAAAACCAGGCTTCTCTCTCTCTGATAGATTGAATTGGGTTCCCCAAAAGGAAACGGTGATTCGTGAACGTTCACTGCCCGTGGATGTGAAGGTGTGTGGAAATAGGGCTCGGGCACAGCAAAGGCCGTGCAGATAGTGCAAGACCAGAGAGCAATTCATCATTGAAAACAACATGTTATCAGTGCGTTTATCATGCAATCATACTAGAGGAGGGTGGACTTTAGCCCAGTGTGACTGGCGTCCCTGTAAGAACGCAATTGAGACCGACACAGAGAGGCACAGGGGATGTGGTCAAGCGACAACGAAGGCAGAGGTAGGAGGGAGACAGCTACACACAAAGGGGGCCCCCACGGAGTGCCAGGACCCACCAGTAGCTAAGAAAGGACAGCATACATCTCTTGCTAGAGCCTTTTCTGAGCGCACCGCCCTGCCCGCAGATTCCTGTCTCCAGAACTGAGACAATGCCTGCCTGTCGCTTCAGGCCCCTGGCGTTGGGCCCTGTGAAACTGCTCCACGGTCCCTCGCTGACAGACTCGGCTCTGCTCAGCAAGTGCTTTCGGGGGGAGAGAGGGAAGATAGGGGCGATAGCTCCAAACGGAGAATTAAACGGAACTCTTCCATTTTTCTCCAAGTGCTGCAGCCACTGAAGGTTATGACCTTGTCTATAAGGAACTGTGTGTCTTTCAGGAGTGTTTGTGCTTGTGCATGAGTTGTCTCTAATCTCAGACCTCCCTGAACACTCCATGGGTTCCTGGGAAAAACTGAGACCCGGCGGAAGCGGAGGAATGCCCCATGGGCAGTGCTGGTCACTGTGTAGGGTCACCAGGAGGGACAAGACACCCGCAGCTGCTACCATCACCAGCATGCTTCTGTTAATTTGTAAGTCATTAGTTGATAAATATCTGAAATGACTAGACAACCACCATCTTGTCTCAGAAACTATCTGCCCTGACTCCCCATAGCGATGGCTCCTTTGATTGGGGGTGGGGAAAACAGAACCCCTTTTTTGGTCCTAACTCTCAACTCTCACAAAAGACGGTATATTTAACAAGCGCTGGGCAGTGCCGGGGGAATGACCACAGGGGTTCTAACAGCTCTTGAGAGGATGCAGTAGGTGTAAATTACTGGATGGTGACTGCTGACACTGCCCGGTCATCTGAATCTCAACATTTATCCAGGAGCAGTAAAACTAGTAATAAAATAAGTCATTTCTAAGACAATCCAGACAACAGAAAAGCTACCGAGCGCATGTAGAAGCTGGAGAATTAGCATCTACAGCGCACAACTTACTATGCCACTATCGAGACTCCCTTTGTCCATTTCC